GCGGGGCCGGGTGCGGGGATGCCAGGGCCGGGGCCGGGGTGCGGGGGTGCCCGCGGGGGTCCCGGGGTTCGGGCGGCCGCGGGGGTCACAAGCGGGGTCCGGGGGTCGTTCCACCCGCTGCGGGTGTCCGGGGGTCAGATCCCAACACCGGCTTCGGCCCCGGGGTGCCCCGCGTGACAACCCTGATCACGCCCTTCATCATGTCGAGGAGGCGGCTTAATAAATTTGGCGAAGTAATCTCGAGTTCTGACCATCTTGTTAATGAACTGATTAAGGAACTTGAACTTTATACCCTCCCCTTTCCAGCACAATGCAATGACGGTGACTCTTTAACAGCTCCCAAACCAATCCCGCATGACCTTTTCCCAGGAAAACGACAGCCTCATCCGCAGGACAAAATGCTCCAACGTGTCCACCATCGTATTCGGCTCCCTTTCCATATAATCATAGACAACTTTCTCCTGTGGTTCCATACCTGCCATTTTCCACTTAGTTGGCAGAAAGTTCTTCTCCACGACATCAGTCAACATCTCCGGCTTTCTCTCTCTGCGCACAAGTGCCGATATGTCAGCCAACTGCTCAGCAGATGATGGACCTGCAGCTTGAATATCTTCAAACAAGGGAATAGTGTTGCGATGATAATCTCCGTCGTTGGGGAATAGTGTCCTGGATTTGTGCCGCCCAACCCAGATGGGTGCGTGGACTGAACAAGTGTTTGATGGACTCTCGAAGTTCATGGAAAAACTTGGCAGCGAGTATTGGACATTGTTGTGCTTCGTTCCACGCTCTTGCGAGTTCACATTCTTCAGGCGAGTCGCGAGGTGGGATATTCACTTGGATCTTCTGAAATGGACTCGTCAACAACAAACAAAGGGGAAAGTGACATATAAGGTTGCAAACTTGTCTTTGGATCTTGTAAAATGGACTCGTCAACAACAAATCAGGGCGTTTACAAATCGGGGCGTTTACAATCGCAGGTTATGCGGCTTGTTATGGGGCGTCAACAACAAATCGGGGCGTTTACAACAAATCGAGGATATTCACTGCTGCATTGGGAATAGTGTCCTCCAAAGGCAAGTTTGCTACCTTATATGTCACTTTCCACTTTGTTTGTTGTTGACAAGTCCATTTCAAAAGATCCAAGTGAATATCCCTCCTTGCGACTCGCCTGAAGAATGTGAACTCGCAAGAGCGTGGAACGAAGCACAACAATGTCCAATACTCGCCGCCAAGTTTTTCCATGAACTTCAAGAGTCCTTCAAACACTTGTTCAGTCCACGCACCCATCTGGGTTGGGCGGCACAAATCCAGGACGGTTGTGTGGCACGTCATATGTCTGACGGCTCTATATATCTCCTTGCAATCCATCTCGTCTGAAACATCGCTCGGTTCCCACTGGAACGGCACGAAGATAGATGTCACGTCCTGTTTCTCGAAATGTATATATTTCGCTTGTCCCGACATACGAATGCTATGTGAACCCCCAGTTTCGGATCTACGCAACAACTTGTTGACAAATTGAATGAATTCTTTGGGACATTTGTCTGCACGTGATTTTGTTTCTTCAAGCCCTCTTCTCCTTTCTCATCCTCTCCTCCAAGTGTGGCCGGAAATGACCGCACCCAACTCATGTCTTTGAAATGTCGTAGCTGGTCGATCCACCTCTCGGATGTCAATCCTTGATCACAATACTTAGCGAACAAATCAGAAAGGTTGTCGAAGAATGGTTCCTTCCACTCTTACGGCTTCTTGTGAGGGTCTGAAATGAAGACAAAGTAGTGAAACATTCTCAACATTGCTTTTTCCAGCTTTACCATTTCCACGTATATCTCCATCGAATGTTTCCCGGCAGTGTGAGCAGCTTTACTTAGCCTTGGAGCCAGTATGACACTTCCCGCGAGAATGTCTCACAACAGTTGAAGCCGCTCACACCTCCCCAACGTAGACATAGCCTTCCATGATCTGACATCCTGATCGCGCACAGCCACGAGGTAACCAGGTCCTCTGGTACCCTGAATCCAGTGGACTGGAACCCTGACTCCCTTTTCCAACTCGAATCTGGGTTCAGGTTTCGGCGCTTTCCCCGATTCACCTTGTTTGGTGGCAGACTTCACATCATCTCTCCCCGGCAACTGTCCACTCTCCCAAGCAGAATACACTTGTCGCACCTTGTCGAACACTTCTTCCGTAGCCCTTGCCAATATCATGTAAGGTCCGAGGAAGTCGGACAATTCCTTGGTCCAACTTTGAAGCGACAGAGTAACCAAATGATCACTCCCGGTCGAGTGCAGAGCCATCGCCGCAAACTCTCTGTAATCCTTAACTTTGACATCCACACCAGATCCGCCTATAGCTTCAGGACGACCGGCTACCAGCCACAACTTTCGTATGTTCTTAATGACATTAATCTGGTGTGGAGGAGTATTTCATTTGTCCTTCGCATTTTGGAAAGTGCTCAAGGTGCCGTAATTATCCATGCTCCTATCCGGATAGTAAACAGGCCTTGCAGTCCAGTAATCCAAACGGAGCTCACTGGCAATGTCAGGGCGCTCTTGAAAACATTTGCTTGCCGCTGCAACACTATGTTGACCACTGAGAGGGTACCAGTAGTACTTGCGCACGGATTGGGGATCGAATTCGTCGGGCGTCACTCTTCTTGCCCTCACATTTGTTCAGGAAGCGTCAGTATGCATCGTATCATGCAGCCCAACCAAAAAGGACGGGCTTCTCGTATAATGTACATACATTCACCCCGCCTGCTCCGGTCGTTCTGTCTCTGATAGCTGCCTCACCCGATTCAACCATTGTTTTGTAAAGGTCATCAATAAGCTCCTGACCGAGAAAGCGTTGATTATATCTGAATTCCTCGTCAGGGATATCCAGAATCATGTCCAACTTGACAGAAATGAACTGCATTTTCGGCCTTTGGTTACCATTCTCGTCGAACTCAAGGAGGAAACCTTTGCTCAGATGACCAGAAGAATTCCCCGGCGGCAGAGTCTGCAAAGAGGGCGGTCTGGTGACTGTCTTGCCCACAGCGTCTTCATCCGACTGTGGCTGGTCTGGTGGAAAAACATAAGTTTTTTCCATCACACCTTCCTTCGCTGCTTTTTTTCTTGGCTGCCGTTTTTTCTTCATGGCCTCCTCAGCCTCCCGCGTACGCTGGACAGCCTCATAAACTGATAGCAGTTTCAACTTGCGTTTGTGACCCTGCTCCCGCTTGGTCCCCCCTTCCTGCTTGGTTCTCTTACTGTCCAAAGCACTTCTCCTCTCTTGCCTGATTTTCCTCTTCTTTTCAGCCAGCCGTGCTGCATCGGTATGTGCTGGCACGACCGTCACTTCGTTGTGCATTCCCCCCCACCCTCGATCCGCACCCCAATGCCCCTGTCCCGGCGGGAGCCGTTGTGCATACCCTCCCTCGCTGGTCGTTTCCTCTTCTTGCCCTTCATCCTCATATTCAATCCCTAGACCACCCTCCAATTCGCCTTGCCCACCCCTCTCGTTGATTGTCGCCTCACTCCCTACTTCCGCTTCTTCCCCACGCTCCCCTCTGTCATCGCCACCCTCCTCATTTTCTTCATCATGCTCTGAATCCTCCTCGCTGTTCTCCTTGTCGTCATCTTCAAAATATTGCGGCCGGCTTGGAATCTCCAAGTCATAACGTGGTGGGCGGACCAAGGAAATGAGTTCCTTGGTTGATGTTGTTCTGGACTTCATAGGGGCTGACGACACGATTTGGCAGCGACACGGACCTTTCTCCCCGATCTGCCCATATTTCGGAACTCACGTTGCAGCAACCGGAGTCCGAAGGGATTGCGGAGGGCGGGCACCTATAATGATTGGTTTCGACGAGGGAGCCACCTCCAAGGACGACGAAAGCACACTTTTCGGCTCAGATATATGGTCGGTAGCATGCACCACCGGCTCATGCCCTGCGACCACATTTCTGTCAAAGAATGTGAAAACCGATCAAACGTCCGGCAACGTAAATTCCCTCGTCCCGGGCGGATTGAAAATGTCAAAAAGCTTCTTGTCGTACCCAGCGTGTTTGGCCCAACGAAGAGCAATGCGTTTGACATTTGCCATCCGCTCACCTTTAGCGTTAAGGACCATCGTCAACTCCAACATGGCCAACGGTGAACTTCCTCCACTCTACTTCACCACACCGCCAATCGGAACAAGTTTATCTTTGATCACCACGTACAGAACCAGCCCACTCGAGGGTTCCCTGATTCCACCTTCCCAGTCCAACATCCAACACTTGTCTTTGTGGTTGACAACAGGCACCTCGTCTCCCACACCTGCAACGGACGTTTCACCAGACCTTCTACGCCTGGGCACAACGTCCATCGCAGATTTCCCCTGCCGACCAGCAGCCTCCTCTTCTTGACCCGCAGCCCCACCACTCATCAACACAGCCACATCCCGTCCAGAACCGCGAACACGAGCGGAAGGACTGCCCGTAGAAGACGCACCCCGTGGCACCGGGGTTCGCTGGTCCTTAGACGCCGGTGTCTCATCAGTCCCCACGCCAGAGGTCGGTGTCCCCTTCGTTTTTTTCGAAGATTGCTCCATGCTTCCGGAACTTCTACTAGCACGTCGTTTGCTTGGCTTCCCCTCCCGATCCATGTCAAGCAGCTCGTCGCAGCTGAAGAAAACGCACAAGTGAGAAAGTAGTCATTGCTCGAGAACAACAATAGATAGGAACACACAACAACAGAAGCGGGCCGAAGTGTCCCTCCACGCACCGGCCGGGGACCACCGCGTCGAGCATGACAAACAATGCCTGGCAGACCGCAGTGTCGCTGTCGTGTCGAATTTGACGTTCGGAAACGGGTGTCATGGCAAGACCGTCGAGTTCAACACGACAGTGAGACGACGACGAGCTGGCGGACTGTACGGGTCGTCCGACCGTCGTGTTCGACACGACAGTGACAATGTGGTCTGCCGCCCGACAGTCGACCAACTCGTCATCGTGTTCGACTCGACAGGAACACGGGCGCAGCGGGGCAACACAGCGCGCCGGCCGGAGCACTCGACGAAAGTGTTGTGATGTCCGCTTCCGACTATCGAGTCGACACGACGACGAGTTGGCGGACCGGGCAGGTCGTCCCACCGTCGAGTTGGACATGACAGTGACACTGTGGGTTTGTCGTGTTCGACATGATGATCGTCGGACGGTGCCTGAGGGGACACTTGACCACGAGAACAGATGGCAAGTGCAGTCCCCAGCGCCCACGGCATAAGAACACAAAGCAGGCTCTGGTTAATAATGGAAATGACATGATTGTTGGAGTTTTTGCACTGCACGAAGATTGCCAGAGATACAATGAGTGTCGGATGCTTGTGCACGCAAAACATGAGAACAACAAGCTTTTTTCGGAAGAAAACACAACATATGAATTACAATCAAACACTACGTAATTTTCGCCCTACGGAAATGCCATCTATATGCAGGCCGGACAAATGGGCAGGCAGCGTTGTGTCGGTGTCGAAAGCCAAACCGAAAACACAGAACAACAATCAGACACTTTACACTGGTTTGATCCTCGTCCATGTATCGTCATTCCCGGGTTTCAATAAATTGGAAAACACGATCAAAACAACAACGTCACACTGTGTATTTTTCGCGACTGAATAGAACATGAGAACAACTAGCAGACACCACATATTTTTCTGAAGAAAACACATCGAGAACACCAATCGGATACTCTGCGCATTCCGCTAAATGCAAAGTCCATTAAAAGCAAAAGCAGAAAGGCAGCTATGCGTCATTGTTGAACGCACAACAAAATTAAAAAGCTGCCAACATCGGTCTCGACACATCCACAAACTTGTGATAGTTTCAGACAAAGGTGACCGACGAAGGCTATCTATCGACTACGGGCAACAATCTCGCCGTTGCAGTCGTTCAACACGCTAAGCGGCGATCCGAAGGACAGCTGCTGCGTCGTCTCAACAAACACACCGAAATGTATTTCATGCGCACGAACCCGAAGTTCTCGACGAGAGAAGCGCCCATAGCATCCCGAATAGAAACGACTTTAGTGTCGACCTCGCGCCACACGCTGACGTCCTCCACCTTGCCACCCAGCACGATATCTAGTCTCTCATCGACCTCTCTTTGAACTAAACACATGTCCCTTCCGGACATAGAAAACTCGTTCCTTGACACATAGACGACAACGTCTGTCAAGTATCTTGCCCTGTTTGAACATGCAATACAGAGGACCCTACAGAAGATGAAGTATGCCAGACGCAATCTCACACAACAATACGAAACTGCTCGAGGCGACAGACCGGGAGATCGCAATGGATAATGATCGAGGAACTACGAATATCGCACACAATCGAGTAACTCCTGCTTCATAACACGACACCATGTGCGCGGCAAGGTAGTCACGTATTCGCAGTCCAAAACACCGACAAGGCGGCTTATTTTCAGCTTCTTACACAATTGAGGCAAGCGCATGGGGTCCGCACCGACGCCAATTGGGGGTCCTTCCCCCCCCCCCCGGGGTGGCTGCCACCAGCGGAGGGGGTCGGGTCTACAGGGGGCGGGGGTCGGCGGGG